AGTCCTTTGACAAAACTGTTGCGCTTCTTCTCCTCTGTATCCACCTCCTCCGGTGCAAAGAGAGATAAGCGTGTGAACTGCTGTTCATACTCCGCCACTGTCATGGTCCCCTGCTGCAGATTAAGAAACTCAGTCTTCATGCCTGCCCTAACTGCATAAGGGAAATACTTTTCTTCAAAGCGTGCACTGAACTCATCATAAGTCAATGCCATCCTCTCCTCTATGGTGGTAACTGACTCCCACCACTACAGTGCATCCCCAACTAGCTTGAAGGTAGCAAGCATCTGCTTCTGAACCTCCGTGCACTGAACCAAGCGAAGATGTCGCTCAATGTCCTGTTTCCACTGGTGAGCTGCTCTTGCATTGGTGGAGCCCGTGAACTCAGGTGGACTCCCTTTTGTGAAAGAACTCCTGGCCTTCTCCCAAGTATCAGTCTGAACAACCGGTGCTGGTAACGGTACCGGCTGTACCTGAGGCTGATTCCGAAGTGCAGCTGCTACCCCAACTTCTATAGCCCGAGCAATGAAGTCATTGATGTGAGGAGGAAACTCTGGATTTTCTCCCTGATCCCCAGTCTGTTGAACTTCCTCCTGCTCCTCATAAAACTGACCTTCATCCTCCTGACGCTGCCTACGGGCCGCTTCCCTTCGTTGCCGATTGTTCCGTCTAGTTCTTGCGTTAGCCATTCTGTCAACACAGAAGGACAGACATCAGCACGATTAAACCGAACCGTAAAGAATACAATGAATCCTAAACTTAAGCTCTAAACAATAAAGAACGCTACGCGGAAGTCTTATACGATAGAATCCTAGAGACACTTGAACCTGGAGTGCTCTGATACCAACTGTGATACCCCCTAATTTCGGAACACGGGTTGATCAAGTCCGCGCACAAAATCAGGGAATATCAAACCAATTATAGTATTTAAACAAGCACGGATTACAAAATGAAATAAAGAATAAAATAAAACGCTGAAGAAATCCAATAACCAATAAATCCATTAATAACTTCCAAATGGTTACAATTCGGGAATCCCGTAACTCAAGGACCCCTTAACCAAAAGTTACTATTTAGAATTTCAACCAAATAAATACTAATATCAACTGAAACAAAACTAATATCCTACTTTTAAGCAAATAGAAGGAATGGATAAGTCCTCCAGCTGCGGATCCTCAACCTTGAGACTTGACCTTCTAACAACCTGAAAAATAAATCGCGGGTTAAACCCTACGAGCAAGTTCTCTCTACCAAGCCTCTGAAAACCAATAAACAGATCATCTTTACCAAAACCATCCCTAATTAAGCTTTAACTTTAATATACGATGCTACCAATATATATAAATACTTATATATATAGTACAAGAATCCTATCTGTTAATAGGGCATTAAATTGTCAAAACCACTCACCAATAATTAATTATTAGTCATACCTAGATCAAGCCCCCCCTTTTATAATTTTCTCATAAAGTAAACCCCACTCACCTTAACTCCATCCTAAACAGTAATTTAGTCATCTACACATATAGCAATTTAAGTATGCACCGGCAAATCAACCATGCCATTTATAAATATATTTATTTATATACTAGCAATTCAACCATGCTTCCTTCAATATATTTACTTTTACAATTAATTAGCAATTCAACCATGCTTCCCATATATGAAATTTATTCATAACCAATAAGGCAGTATATCAAAGCCTTTGGCAACTCATCCATGCCTACAATTCAACCATGTACTAACTTTAAACTTAACTCTAGGTATAATTATACATAGACTTCACATGCATATAATAAGCATGTCCTTAATTTAATAACCGTGTATCTATTACGATTTTAAATCAACCATACCATACACGAATCAAGTCATACCAAACAAGATTTATAATATTTAATAATCTTAAATAATATATATATACACATATATTTTATAATATATATATATGTGTGTATCATACATTCCATACCAATCGTTAACTATTTAAAATCATATCTACATATATATACACATATATACACCTCATTTCATTGCAAAAATATTTAATTAATTGTATTTATACCACTAAATGCTACTAGGTATCTGAGTAACACTATGAGGCTCTCAGAACATCAAGAACACACCCTCTAATGATTAATTTTAACCCTAACAAGCTTAAGATAAATACTGGAACTTCACCGGAGTCTCAAGCAACTTTCCAAGACCTCACATGCATCCCCACGCGCCTTCATGCGCCGCCACATACCCCTAGACTACTCCCACGCGCCTCCATACACTTCCCCTTACCGGCAGGCGCGTCCACGCGCCTGCACGCGCCCTCACGCGCCTGAGCCACTCTCGGCGCGTGTTGGCAGCTCCTAATTGGTTGATGTTTGGTGCTCTTGGTAAGCCGCGATGCACTGGATCCTCTCCCTTAATCAACTACATCTAACCATTGATGCCGCATGTGTATCAACTTACAATGGACCGCATCACACCAGATCAATCCAACTAAATTAAATTAATCCTATGGCCTAGATCAACGAGTGCACCCTTTTCCTACGTACGCGACCACACTGGATAAAAATCCTATTGAAGCGCAAATACTAGCCGCCTCCAGTGTGTTTGTTAAACAATTTAACACATATATATATATATAAAACAATTTCTAAATTAACATTAAAAATATAAATTAATTTCAGAAATTGTTCAGAAAATCTCAGAAAAATCCCAAAAGCTCTATTTATTATTTTGGGCATAAATGAACATATACAATTAAATTAAAATCCATTTAATTTAATTAATCGTGCTACACAAGGTTAACGCAAAATATAAAAATTTTAGAAAAAAATAAAATTTAGTTAACCTAACCTCACATACAAGATCTAAATTATCAGAACAATGCATACATATATTCACATGTTTAATTCTATAATTTTGTAAAGAATAACTATGCTCCTCCAATCTGAATAATAATTTAATTTAATAAAATAAAATTATAATTTCGATAATCAAGGTGATAAGTTTATGAGTTCTAAGAGGAGAAGTAGAGAGGAACTCGCATTTTCTTTTCCAAATCTGGTCTCCTCTTACGTTTGTTGATCCGGCCTCCTCTTCGTTAGCCCTTCTTCTTCTCTCTCTAATTCTCTTATTTTTCTAACGTGGAAAAACTCCTAACCCTAAAGTCTTATGTGTCTATTTATATACATACAAAAACTAAATCCTTTTTCCATTAGGATTATCATATAAAATAAATAATATTTATCTTTTAAATAATATATATACATACATATATTTTAATATAAACATATATATATTACCTTCCATATATAACCATTAGTTAAATAAATTATATATACCTATATATATCAATATATAATTATATTGACATATATACCCCTCCAAATGATTTAATAATGAATTAATATACACATGTAATTATATAGGTATAATTATGTAAAGATAATTATTAAATATCCTCACAACCATGGGCCTTTACCAATTAACCCAACAAAGCTTCCTTCAAGCCCAATACCACATCCGTTGGTCCAACTTCCTTTAATCCCAATCCAAATAACTTAAATACCTAAAATAATGAAATTAAATTTAATAACTACCAATAATTAACAATAAAGTTACACCAACATAAAATCACGCAAATTAAATAAACAATTCACTAACTAGCATTCCACCAATCAAACACCGTATAAATTTAACAAATAAAATTACAAAATATAATTTAATTAAAACAATACAATTTACCTACGCATTTAATTAAATAAAACAAATCACAACTATCAAGCACCTAATTAAATAAAACAAATCATTTAAAAATAATAATAATAATAATATAATATAAATTAATTTAATTAATAAATCCTTTTTAAAATATCGGGGTATTACATATACCGACTTAAATTACAAATTGTTGGGATGTTATGTACAAATAATCTATTTGGATTATGTTGGGATGTTGCGTACAATTTATATTGACTTAAATTACGAACTGTTTGGGTTGTTATGCAGTATATCCAAAATACCTTGTTTTCTTCCAAAATGTCGTCTTCTTCCTTTCCCTCTCTAAAAGTTTCACCAGCTTCCATTAATGGACTCTCAAAGGACTCACAGTAACTTTTGAACTTTAAAGTTTCACTTCAAAACCCAAACACACTCCAAAAACCCATGTAATTTCACTAAAGTATTATGCAGAAACTCCAGAGTATCATCCATAGATTTAAGCTTTATTCATGTAAATCTCGATTCATGTAAATCTCGATTTTTGGTCTATTTTCTCTTATCTAACTAAAGAGCACAAACATCATTGGTTCGCACTTTTTTGAAATATTTTGGAAAGAAACAATATTTTGGAAAGAAATCAAAATTTGGGTTGTTGAAATGGCGGGATTTTGGAAAGAAATCAAAATCAATATTTTGGGAGAGAAGAAAATGGCGGGATTTGGGTTGCTGAAATGGGTTGCTGAAAGGGAGGGAGGGAAGAAGAAATAGTATTTGTGAACAATGTATACATATATATATATATATATGAAAATTGTGTATAAAACAAATAAATATTTTACCCACCTTAGTAACTACTGTTCACTAACACAAAAAGGCAAAAATGGGCCGATGTAGGACTGGTGATCCTGGTCCACACGACAATAACCCAAACCATGACCATCTTGAGTGATAACAAATCCAAAACGAAAAAACAACAGTGTCTTTTGGAATGTCCTAATCTGTAGATGTTGATTGTTTGCCCATTAAATTTTAAACAACGTGCCCTCTATAAGTCTACAAAAGATAATGATAATACTATATAAATAAATAAAAATAAATAATGAAACTTAAGCAAAATATATCTACCTATTTTCTGGTCATGCACATTACGTACTCCTAATACATTATTGGAATGGACCGAATGGTCATTCCAAACTTGATAATTCCTCTAAATAATAATTGTCCTATAATACTTTTCAAAACTACCCCACATGAGCTTTTCCTATAAATTTGAAACATCTCTCTCCCATTCTCATCAATCCAAGAGAGAGAAATGGAAGGCTCATCTTCTAGCTATGTTCATGTTCTTACAACCCTTCTCATTCTACTAGCCTTCACCTCTTACGTGAGCTTGGCTTCCGGTGCTGTGGCCGGGAAATCAAGCACCGAGTTCATCAGAAAATCTTGCAGAGTAACAATCTATCCAAAACTTTGTTTCACCTCACTCTCAGGCTATGCAAGTGCTATCCAAACAAGCCCTAAGTACCTAGCATATACAGCACTCTCCGTGACCCTCGACGCTGCCAATTATACGTCCAGCGTGATGAAAAATTTGTCACGAAGCCACGGCATGAAGCCTAGAGAGGTCGCGGCCATGGGAGACTGTGTGGAGTTGTTAAGTGCCTCCGTAGACCAACTGAGAGAATCTCTGGGAGAGATGAATCAAATTAAGGAGCCAAACTTTGAGCAAATGATGAGTGACATAAAGACTTGGGTCAGTGCTGCTTTGACGGACGACGACACGTGCATGGATGGGTTCGCCGAGAAAGCCATGGACGGGAACTTGAAAACTGTTGTGAGGGGCCGGGTCCTGAAAATTGCGCAATTGACTAGCAATGCTTTGGCTTTGATCAATACTTATGCTTCTCTCCATGTCTAGCTCACTTCAAATAAGGGTACTATTTTTTTTTTTCCTTCCCCCAAATGGTAAAGCAAACCTACACTTTTTTTTGTTCATTTTCGGACTCTACCCGTTCTCTTCTCTTTGAGAATAAAGAAGTTATACCAATAAGCCAAATGCTGTTTGGTATAAGGATAGTAGGTTAGGTGGTTGTTAATGTTAGCACCGTATTGGTCATGGGCAAGTGTATAAAATTATATTGTATAATTTCTAGTTATGTACTGTATTAGAGAAATTGTGTACATGAATATTTATATAATTGTTGTGATTATGTTTGTATATGATAGCGAGTTCAATAATACTTGGATATAGAAGTTTACTTGATCGAAGCCATCCTCATTTTGCGTGAGGGAGAGAGAGTTGCCCAGCATTCATATGGGACCACCTCACCCATCAATATCCCTTAAAAGACAAAGATATGCATTTTGCCCATACTCCGGCTCAAACCCTCCCCACTCTCAAATTCTTCAACTCTTTAAAGATGGAGAAGTTATACTATTACGCTAGATGTTCGAGACACTAAAACTAAATTCTTATCCTTGACCAACCCTTAGAGTTGCCATCTTACAAGTTTATTAAATAAAAATAAATAAATGAATTAGTTTTAGAGAATGATATTTCAATATTCTCTAAAAATAATATTATGCTTTAGGAATTCTTGAAAATTGCATTAAAAAATTAAACCAAACAGATTTGAATTTCCAAAACTCTATTTCTTTTTTATCTTATTTTATTAAAATTTAATATTTTTTTCATGAAATTCCAAAACGACTCAACTGGGCACAGCTCACAAGTTCTCCCGGCCATCACAAGATAAATTTGAATTCAGTAAAGAAGTTAAACATGAACATCATACAACTTACTTAATTAGAGGCTTTGGATACATGTGAAGGAAGGCATATCATGCATCACGCCTTTGTGATATAAATCTTAGAAACGAGACAACCAAGGGCGCATAAACTTTTAAATTTTGTTTTAATATCTGGAATGAGACTAACAAGCAAAATTATACCCACCCAATAAATTCGGACAGAAAAAATTTTCAGAAACTTTTCGAGTCAGAAATTATTGTCATATATACTTTGTCTTTGTTAAAATCTTTGTTTGATTCAACAATACTCAAATATGTGAGATATATTGGCATATTTAGGTAACAAAACGAGTCCTAGTCGAGTTGTAATTTCAGTTATCATATTAGACTTGACATCGACTGCGGAATTCAGAGGTTGAACAGAAGAGGAAAGTACTGTTGATCATCGAAAAGGAAAGAACAACACATTAGGACATCATTTCCCACTTAGGACACAATGATATACATGGTATATTTTCAGAATTTCAAATATACAGAAATTTGAAGTTCAGGTTGAATTATGTCAAGTGGGAACCGATACCTGCATTTGGGAACCGGTTCCAGAAGCTAAGATTTGAGAACAACTCTCTGTCCTTTGGGAACTGGTACCAAGATTGGGAACCGGTTCCAGAAGTCCTGATTATAATAGGTTTCCAGTTACCCTGTTCTGTTTAATTCCTTTTTAATCAAACTTTCCTTCCAAGTCATATGCACGAAATTTCCTTTATTTTCAGAAGGAATAAGACTTTGCAAACCTCTATATAAACCATGTCATACACATAGGTTTATTAACGGCTTTTACTCATTATTCATATATCATACAAAGCCTTACGAAGTTTATCCCTCTCAGAAAATCAAAGTTGATTTTTCTGTTGTCTTCCTAGAACATACACATATTCACCTAGTTAGGTTAGAGTTGTGGAGTTCGAATCCTGATCGTGATCATACAGTTATATCTACATCGATCAGACAAAGCAGATCTTATTCTACATCATTCAGACGATTGAAGAACATAAGTAAAAACAATCACACTTTGAAAAGGTTGGAGCATTCGTGGAGTGTTGTCCGATCTACATGCTACTCTTCTACAAATATCAAGCATAAGCCTGAGGTCAAGTTGTTGTTGGACGGGGAGTCGCAAAGTTAGAGGATTGTCAGTAGTTGGTGTTTGGTAGAACGATAGGGTGTGAGCCAGAGTTAAAGTTCAGTATATTTTGTTTCAAGCATAATGGATTGGTTTACTTTGGACTGCACAGTCCACGGGGTTTTTCCCATAATAGTTGACGTATTTTATCAACTGGTGTTTCCTCGCTAAAATCCTGGTGTTATCTTTAATGTTTTTTTATTTTTTTTTATTTTTTATTTTTTTTATCTGCATGTGATTAACTGTTTAATTGCTAAAATAAGTAAAGTTGGTAACGTCACAGATCTATTTTACAAAATCTAAAACTTTCCTAAATACATTCCACTACGTATGACTCACAAAATATACTTGATATGACATGTCTACCTTGTCTTTGCTGAAGTGTTTTGTTTGAATAAAAAATGGAATGACACACTGACAACTAGTTTTGCCGAAAAATATGCCATTCCAATAATGTAAGAGATTTTGCCCAACCTTGGGGTTGCTGGAGAAGTTATAATCATCTGTCAGACCCAAACCAACTTCTTCGGGGTATCCAATGGCTAACCAACCCTAAGGTTGGCCAGAAAATAGTTTTCTATTACTCCAACCTAGGACACTTAACCATGACCAACTTGCTGACTTCTTCTAGCAAAATTTGGACATAGCTATGAGAAAGGTTGGCAAACCTTTCAATAGGCTCATTTTCTCAGTCATTATATATTCTTCCACTTTGAGAAAATCAATGTTAAAGTTTTGGAAGGAAGTCTTAGTATTTTAGTTGCTCCAAATTTACATCTTGTAAGTTTTGGGGGGCAAAACGTGACCAATCAACTATGTATTTGATCAAAATATATACGAATCCATTCTCCACGTAAACCTCTAAACAGGGGGGACGAAATTGGGCAAAAGGTTTCAAATCCTCAAGATCACAACTTCTGGTCTAGATAATAGGCTGATTAATGTTTCAGCCAAATGGTATATTATGGCTAAAAAACTTTTAGTTATCTCATTCCTCTTTCAACAGAATATCATATGCCAAATTTTTCACTCACAATCTAAAATTTATATGCCGTGCTATTCTTCCTAGAATATAAGGCACATAAAATTTGGGGGAAAATGCATGTTTATATCCCAATTTTCAATAGTTAATTCGAAAGTGGCACGTGGCAAGTTCCAATGGAACTTACAATAATAGATTCTTATGACAATGGCTAGTAAGTGCTTGGCACATGGCCATATAAAGGTGAATGGATCACCTACAGCTAAGATCCTGTTTGCACCACAAATTATCGATTAACTTCCAAAGAAAGGTTAATAGGTGGCTGATTACAAATTTTTAGTGGAACTTTGTATCTAGCTTCCAAGCATTTTGGTAAGAAACTAATCAAAGTTGGACACGTGGCTTATTAAAAGGGCCACACCTGTAACTGTTTGCACTATAATTATTGGTCAATTTATAGGAAGGTGGTCTTGGCTGATTCCAATGAAAGGGTGATATGCAAACAAGGATACAATCATAAAGCAGCATGCGAGTTCATCTTAGAAAGCCATTTGGTAAAGTAACTATCTAAGAATGTACACGTGGCAAATTTCTATGATGGTGGTTATGGTTAAAAGTTTTATCCTCTAAGTGGGAACATGGTAGGCAAAGAGGAAAGTGGTAACCTGTAATTGAAAAATTGTCACTGCTGAGTGAGACACGTGACAGACAGAGATAAGCAGTTGCCTGCATTTTGGAAAGTCATAACCTTTGAAATGAAAAATGTGGCAAGTAAAGAGGTAAACAGTTACCTGCAGTTGGAAAGTCGTGACCTATGAATGGGACACGTGGAAAGCAAAGGAGTAAGCAATTACCTGTAGTTGGAAGTTATTGTGTCTTCCAAGTGGGACACGTGGCAAATTTTTAGTGAAAGAACGGTTATTCCAGTGGAAGGTTCTTGCGGTAAACTAACATAAAAAATAGAATGTGGGTGTAAGTTGAGTACAACACATGAAAACATAGGACACATGGAGAATTTCCAGTGGAAGAGTGTAGTGGCAGATGATTATTCTAGTGGAAAGTCGTGCGAAAATGTAACAAGAAAAGCATAACATGGTAAAAACATAAAGCACAAGATTAGATTAATCAGGGCAACATGAGGCACTTGGCAAACTTTGATTAAAACAACGTAACTGCCGATTTTAGAAACTCTATAAATTGGACACACATATGCAATTTGCAAACCCTATTCAATACATAACACAAACAGTGTTTTATTATCTTTCAATTCAATTTTTGTACTTTTCATTATTATTATTTTTATATTCCAGTAATGTATTTCCATTATTTTTAATTAAAGTTCTATACTTCAATTACTCTACTTTTAGCAATTGTCCTTTCAATATTTTACTTTCAAGTCATGTATTTTCAATTTGTTTCCTTTCAATCATAAAAATTCCCAAAGCACTTTGATACAAAAGCAAAAAAGAACCTCGGAGGTGGTCTGCACTTCAATTCCTCTACTTTCAGTAATTGTTCTTTCAATACTTTGCTTTCGAGTCCTGCATTTTCAATTTGTTTCCTTTTAGTTATAAAAATCTCCCAAAATTCTTTGCTACAAAAAACAAAAAAGAACCTTAGAAGTAGTCATTTCAGGCCCCCTCTCACTTGCTTGCATGATCTTTCATTCTTCCATCTAGAATATTGTTTGGACTCTTAACTTGGAACGTTTTGAGTTCCTGTGACGCCCATAGTTCCATTGAAACTAAGGGTGCAACTTGGACAAGGCAACCTAAACCCAACCCGATTTTTCACGGGATTGGTCAATCATTTTTATAACTAGGGTTGGCTTGAGTTGAAAAATCTCAACCCAAACTTAATTAGGATTGGGCTTAGGTTGTGGTGCTACCAACCCAAGCTCAACCCGAACCTAAATTCTAATATTGTTTTCATATATATATATATATATATATATATTATTTTAAATACATTATATATAATAGGGCAAAGTACAAATACTCCCCTCGACTTGTAGCCTTTTTCAGTAAACTCCTCGTCTAATTTTTTACCAAAGAACCCCCCTCGACTTGTAGCCCTTTCCAATAAATCCCCTTTGTCTATTTTTTTTTACTAAAGAACCCCCCTCAACTACCTTAGGGGGGTAAAAGAGTTGATATTTTGCCAAAATACCCTTTTATTTAAATCTTAATTTTCCCGAACTTAAAAAATTCATATCTCGCAAACAGTATATCAAAATATTGCAAATAATATATGCACGGAAAGCTTATAAAACAAGGATTTCAGAAATATAATATTTGTTTAAC